ATCAGTTATTTCTTGTTATTATTAAATAAGAGAATCAATTTTTAAATTTAATAATAATATAATAATAAAGAAATGATTAACTTTTAATAAACGTGGATTAAGAATTAAGTCAAAGAAAAATTGATTCTCCTGAGAATCAATTTTCAACATATTATTTATATAAATGTATATGAGGTGAATTAACTTTTTTGTCGCATCTCCTCTACTTATCAAGATCCTTGGATTTCTTCTCAAATATTCACTCACGTCAATCAAAACAAATACAACACTCACTTGTGTACATAAATAAAATAAAAAACAAATAGAATAAAAATTATGTCAATAGTGTTAATCTAACAATATCATTTACTTATAACTCTAATCTATCAAATTTTAACCTTAAAAAAATACTATGTAACATTTATTTCAGTAACTAAACAACAAATTAGGCTCTTATGAGTGAATGAAGTTGTACAATTAATGCACCATCAAAAGTTTCCTTTTAAGAAAGTCACATAATTTGAACTAGCAGAAGTCATGTGTGGGCTCTACGAGGATCAAACATTTATGGGCCACGAGTGATCCAACTAAAACCAAACCGAGTGTTCAATTTTCAAGACAATCAAGAATGTGACCAAACAAACCCTATTACCCTTTATGTGATCAAACAACTTTTTTCATCAGTGTAGATCCTTAAATTCACTTGCTGGGGACAAACTTCAATTGATCATGCACTTTGCCCCCATTTCTTTCACAACTAGATAATAAGTCAATATTTCTTAGTAAAAATATAATCAAACCTGTTTAAATGATTGGATACGACCGAACCACACTCAAAAAGTCTTCACTTCATTGTACAACAAATAATCGAATCACTAGGAAAATACATTTCTACGTATGCAACAATTTTTTTTTCTTTTAAAAAAAAACTCACAAATTTATTTAATAAGAACCTTATATATTTTAAATTATATCAAAATATATTTTAGTCTATGTATAATAATAATGTCAATCTGGACATCATATTTGATGATTATGGAAACTTAAATATTGTTTTTAACTAACTCAAATACATTTAACGTTCTTAATTTAAAAACATTTTTAGTTTTAAATATGAACATCATTTTTCATAAATATAACTAAAAAAATTTAGAAAATTAATTGTTTATATTTGAGTCAACATAGTCATCCTCTTTTGTTTTGAAGCTGTAGTAGATTTGGTTTAAAAGAGGAAGGTTCCCAACCATGAGATGGATGGATTTTAAATATTGGGTCAGCATTGCTATACTAAGTTAATTTCGTTAAAAAATAGCTTAACTTTATTAAAGAAAAAAAATCTTAAAAAAAATCATATTACTCAGCTTTTATTAAACTTTTCATTATCTCAAATTTGCTCCTTTTAAAAGTTTTAACAAAAAATAATCAATAAGTATTGATCCGCATCACTTGGAAAATTATGAACACGTGCATGGAAATAATATATACTAGTTTATTTGCAACATTTAATTAGTGGAAGACTTTTTTTTTAATTATGATATTGATATATTGAAAAAGAAAATTACGTCTTGGACCTTGAACACATATAACTCCTCCCAACATACATGGGCTTAGTAACTTGGATCCTTTGTACGTTTGTGAATCAGACGAAGTATAATGTTCCAAAGGGGTAAAAAAAATTATGAAGATGATATCACCCCATTTTTTAAAACAAATTGGAATGAAAATACGATGACACCCTATGTTTTTCAAAGTTGTTGCATGGTGGCTTGAAATACAATATGCACTGCTTTTGAAAACTTTCAAAGTATAAATTCACCCTCTTAAACTTTTTTCTCTCCCTGTTACCCTATCTTTATTGTAAAAAGGTTTTCTAATTTAATTTACATCAATATAAAAGAGTTCTACACTTTTTAATATATGTTTTTCCGTTAAATTTTAAAATATTAATATAACTGTATTATTATAATTAAGAATAAACAAATTGGTATCATTATTTGTTAAAATTGAATAATGTTTTTGTTTTGATAAAGATGGTCAATAAAATAAGGAAATTTTCTAAAAAAAAAGTGCAGAGACTCACCTATTCTGAATTTCAAATCAATTTTTAGAATATATATATATATATATATATATATATATATATATATATATATATATATATATATATATATATATATATATATATATATATATGAAAATGAGTTATAAAGTGAAGATTATTTTTTAATTAGATTCTTTTATATAATATTAAAAAATAATCAATAGAGTGAGATATAATAATTGAAAATCCATAAAATAATAACTAATATAAAATATTATAATAAAATAGATAAAAGTAGTTTTTTTTAATAAATTTAGATTGATAAGGAAAATTAATTCACCCAATAAATTTGGACCGGTACTGGTCCAATAGTTTTGGACCCGTGGGCACACTTTAAAAAAAAAAATTCTGTGTGAATATGCCTACTATCGTGTATATGAATTTCCAATAAATAAGATCACAAATGATATCAACGTAGAGGCCGTTGAAAATATTGATTATAAAATCCCTTGCTTCATACCAAATATCAATCATTGCCTATTATCATATTTCGCCTAAATAATGCTTTTACAGTACCAATACCAAAAGTAGAGAAGGTTAATATGAACATCACTTGCGATGAGAAAAAAAAGTTTCCTAAAATTTTAGTAAATTATATCATTCAACTTCTCAAGTGGCTCAATACATTAATTCGGAAAAATAAAAGTTAGTTATGTTATTTTTTTATGTCCCAACTCAATAAACAAACAAGGAACTTACCTGGAAAGAATATTCTGCAAATAGAAAGGTCCAAAAAGTTGTTATAGAAGAGGCAAAAATGGAACTCACACTCACTAATAATGAATGCGAATAAAATAATTATAAAAAAAAAAGATGGAGCTCTTAATGAATAATAATACTACATACTATCTTGGTTCTCAGCTTTCATTAACCAAATAATCACACGTTACATTCTAACAATAAGAAAAATCTTTGCATTGTTTAAAAAAAAAAAAAATACAATATGGAATTGAAACATCGTTTTAGCATTAACAACAATGATAAATCTGTGTCACAAACAAAACCAAGTTGTCTGAATGGAGTGTGATGGACCCACAAAGACAAAGACACTTCAGCTTTAGATTGGCCTGAGCCATTGGTTTGAGTTTTATCTATCGAGTTGTGAGTACAGTGTTGTTTTGTGTTGCGCCTCAAACTCAATTATTCAAAGTCAATATCAACGGTTCAAATCAAGATCAACTTAACGTGCACCCCATTTCAAGTCTTGGATTTGTCTTCCACAGATCACTACAAACAACGCTCTCACGCACTAGGTTGACCACTTTGCTGTTTGCACTTTTGGTTCTTCCTCTTCCACCTCATCGATCAACACAGGTTGGAACCAGAAGAAAAAATAAAATAAGTTACCTTCATGCATTTATTTTGCGTTGTGGATTGGGAAAAAGTGACCCTTATGTTTTATATAACGGTAATTTGGAAATGAGTGGTAGTTAGGAGGTTCAGAAAGACTATCCAGCAGAATTTAATTGTGGGGTTTTTGTTGATTGAAGTTTCTTCAAGATCATTGTCAAAGTGAGGGAATAAGAAGGCACAGAAGCATTTTGAGAAAGGTAAGACCCAATTTCTGAGTTCCCATTCGAGAATTTAATGTGACTTTTTGGAGCCTTCTTTGTGTGTGCTTCCTTGGTGGAAATGGGGAGGTCAGCTTCTTCTGTTTGTAGCATTTCATGTTTTGGAATGGTAAAGTTAGGAGCTTTGTTGAGTATTTTCACTGGGGTGGGAGATGGTGTTGGAAATTTTATATTCTGATTGATGCAAGTTGAAGGTGCAGTAAAATTGTGGTGATTCTGTGTTGATGTTATGATTGATGGTTTTAGGGGGTTTATATCGAGAATTTCAACAGGTTGGTGGTGTGTGTGTGTGTGTTGACGTTTTTAGAAAACCCAGGATCTCCCATGGTTTCTGTTGCTAAGATAGGAATTTGGAAGGGTGTTTCAGTTGTGGAATTGGCTTTCTGTTTGAAAGAAAAATGAAATCCATTTTGAAAAGAACTGCTACGGAGTTTAACTTTTCTTGTGTTGAGCGTGTTTAAAGAGTGTGAAGAGAAAATGTTGCGTATACTCCATTTTTGTATTTGTGTGGGAGAAACATGGAAGCTTTGAATTTTGATTGCGATGTATCTGTTAGTGAGATTGGATGTTAATGAATTAGAACACTGGAGGAAGATGCTATTAGTGACTTGTAGAAAAAGAAACTAGGCAATCAAATTTGCGAGATGTTTTTACTTTTTGCCTTTTTCTATATATCTCTTGGGTCCTGTGATGTCAGGAAAAGGGAAAAGGTGAGGTGACGAAATTAATTTAAGGATGAAATGCTACTTGTTAGAGGTCTTGAAATTCATATGAAACGAAAAGGTGATAAAAAGTAAATTGTAAAGAAGCAAACTAGTTTAATGGATACTCAAAATTATACCATTACCATTAAAATAAATTCTTCTAGCTCTTCACTTTTTTTGCATTTCTTCAATACCTTACATGTTTGTATACAACCGCAACTTTTGTATTTCCATTGTGGAATAGAAGGGAAAAGCATAAGCATACCAATACTTTCTTTTTATGTTTTCAGTGAATACTGCAAATGAAAGAGAGCATTCAAATTCCTCACTGTACCTTTATCAAATTCTCTTCTTCCTCAGCCTTCTATAAATGATCAAATTATTCTACCCTTTAGGGGAGTTGTGTGAACTTTAGATGTAATCTATGTAGAGGAACTATGGCCTGCTAATTACCAGCTGCTAACTATTGTTGCTTTCCTTTAGTATTGTTTGTTACTGTTAGGCATTCCCATAATTAACTAGTGAGTTATGCACTATCATTTATATTTATGTTGTATTGCTATATAAAGTTTTACCAAAGATCTCATTTCTACCTTACTTTCAGGACTGGCTGCTAGTTGCTGAACCACAAGATACAGACCAACAATGGATGAATTTGCTAATAAAGTTCAAGATGACTTTTATGCTGCAGAGTCAGCTTTTGAAAAACCCTACTCACTCCAAGGGTTCTCAACAAAAGAAAATGATGTGCAAGAAGAGGAGCTATCCCTGCAAGCTTTAACGGAAATAGATTATCGCCTAGCCTATTTTTCTGAGAAGTTGCTGAACTTGCATTTGCTTTATATTTATCTATTGGCTGAGGAAAGTGATCTTGAAGTAATGGATTCAAAGAATAACTGCATCTTGGCACACTTATTTGAGAAGGCAATGACATTTGATCTATTGTCTGGCATTTTGGATTCTGAGGTAAGAGAGCTGGAGAGTTTCATGGACACTCTCAAAGAAGAAATTGTTGATGCTCGTCATAAAATATTTTCATGCAGACATTTGACTGAGGTTTTCCTTATGATGGACAAAAAATTGCATGACTCTGAAGAGTCTGTGAAGCAGTTTGAACAGCAGTTATTGGAGTTGAAAATGCAATCATCCCAGTTACAGAAAACCATTGAGGCTTATCGAAATGAGAATTGTAAGTTGAAATTCTTACTCAAATATTTTTGTTCAACATATTTACACTGAGCATGCAGTTCTTTTCCAAGTTTGGGATGACTGTTTACCTTTCTTAGTCATCCATGTAAACAGGCGAAACATGGAAGGCCTTGAATTTATCAGGACATGGTCAACTTTTAGATGTGAAAGCAAAATCCGATGATCAGATGGTTGAACAACGAAGATATATTCTGCGAATGCTTGAGAAATCACTAGTGAGGGAGCTAGACCTTGAAAGGAAGTTAGCAGAGTCAAGGAATAATGAGGAGCTAAAATTGAAACTCCGTTACTCAGAACAAGTGGCATATTATATGGAAGAAGCAGCAAAAGTAGTTTGGGGAAGATTTCTAGAGGCAGACAATACTGCAGAGGTGTTGATGGGGATTTCTAAAGGTATAATGGGACGCCTTCAAGTAACAGAGTTCAACCGCAATGGTTCTATGCAACGAGAAAATGAGCTGAGATTAACTGTTCAAAATTTGATGGAGCAACTCAAGGCTAAAGATGCTGCATTAGAGAAGCTTGAGACATGTAATGTTGAGAGTACCAAGGAAAAGAATGATGTGTTGGCTTTGAGGGAAAAGGTGAAGTTTCTTGAGAAAGAGAGAAAGGATTTTGAGCTTCGGATTAATAATGTGATTGCAGAGAATGAAGCATATCATGAACATCATATTGAAATGGAAAATTTCGTTGAATCCCTCAGAGAAAACATTGACATTGCAGTAAATCGGGCTGAGAGTGCAGAAGCCAAGGTTACACAGCTAACTGAGACCAACTTGGAACTTACTGAAGAGCTGAATTTTCTTAAAGGGAGTGCTAGCGCTGCAGAGAAAAAGGTTGGTTCACTTGAGAAGCAACTTAGGGAATTAGATATCCAACTACAGAATGCAAAGGCGTCTTCTGAAGCAAGTCAAGAACAGCAGAACATGTTATACACAGCTATATGGGATATGGAAATATTAATTGAAGAGCTGAAGTCAAAGGTTTCGAAAGCTGAAAGTAATAAGGATTGTGCTGCTGAGCAATGCTTTGTGCTATCTGAAACAAACTTAGAACTTAATAAAGAATTGGATCTCCTTAGGTCCAGAACAATAAGCTTAAAAACATCTTTGGATCAAGCTAGCAATACAAAATTTTCTAGGGCAAAAGAAATTGATACTAAAACCAAGCTTATCATGGATATGGTAATGCAACTGTCCTCTGAACGGGAGCGGATCAATAATCAGGTAATGACTTAATAAATTTCTAGTTTTGAACTATAGTTTCAATATTTCTTTTAAGAGAAAACTAGTATTTCGGTCCTTTAAAGATATGTGTACTCAGTTGAGTTTCCTAGAGTTTGGTTTTATCAAAAGAAGTATTCAATGTCTTCATTTATTTAAGTTTGGTTATACTGTGCTTACATCGTGCAACATTAGTTCATCTTAACTGTTTATGCTATGACCGAATTGCAATGAAATAAAATATTCAATAATTCAATGGTTAAAAAGTATGCCTGCAGAACTCAAATGAGAAAAAGTGTATATTTCAAAGATCAAAAGAGTGTTTTGTTTCCATCTTTTATAACTATGTGGATAATCTTCAGTATGCCTGAATCAGAATTTCAAATCCAGATCTATAATGGTTCATGGTTTCTTATCCTGAAAGAAACAAGTTGAGTTAGTTGATTATCAAGGTGTTCGGCATAATAAGAGAATAAATCAGTAATTTTCCTTGGAGGAGAGTAAGATACACTAACAGGGACATTAACTTTTTTTTTCCAATACGTCTGATTTATTATTCAACTTTTTCTTACCTATTATACACTAACAGGGACAGTAACTTTCTTATCACTATGTTCTTCCTGCAGTTACATTCTTTAAAACAGGAAAATAAAAATTTGGTACAAAAGTTGAAGAATACTAAAATTGATGGCTCTTTAGATGCATGCAACAATGGACTAAATAACAGAAATGAAGATCAAGCTTCCAACAATGACTCAAGCAATGATAGCTGTGCTAAATCGTCAGATGAAGAAGGAATATATCACTATAATGCGGCCTTTCAGGCAGGTACTTATTTATCAGCCTAATTTCTTTTCCTAATTGATATGCTTATTATATGATGTTGATAGGTAAAAGTTAGGTGTTAAATTTAGAGTCTATTTGGAAAATTTTCTCCTAAACATAAGTGTACTTTGAGCCTTCTAGGGCTGTCTACTTGTCCATTATTCTATTGCATGCATATAAAAATGAATGCTAAGAGGAATTTTTCATTTTATCTATGTGATGAGAATTCAAAAATAAATTAACCATTATGAAAAACACATTACACAGTAGAAAGGATTGAATAGTAAACAAAAAAACACTTTTCGAAAAAAAAAATCTTAAAACTTGTTTGGATATGTGTGGACTGGACTCGTCCAAATCAAATATGCTTCATCCAAAAGGTTTTTTCAAAGCTATTTATGAAAAGAACTTAAAAGAAGTTGCTCAGATATAACACATAAACACAATTGTAGGAAGGAGTACAAACACAATTGTTGTATACTAGTTTAGCTCAACACTAAGCACATAGAGTCTCTTATCATAACGGATTACAAACGAGTTTTTACTCTATCACTCCTGCTCTCTGTTACATCTAACAACTCTTAGATTTCGTCTAAGTTTTAGATCCCATGTATTATTTTTTTCACAAAGTCACACCTGACGTCCACAAACTAAACAAAGTTTGATGTAAAATAACACTCAAAAGAGGGAATATACAATGAAGATTAGAGGGTTTGTGCTTTTTAAAGCTTAATACAAATATACAAAACTGTTGACTGTTTTAGACTACCTTAAGGCTGTACAAGGGTTTTGCATAAACAAGTCGTCCAACAATTTGGTAGACTTTTAGCACTGTTAACTCTTCACATATTTGTTGACTTTATGCTTCCTGGTACTTATCGAAGACTGACATTCTTCACTAGGATCGGAGTACTTGAAATATGTCTGTTACTCACATGTTGGCTTGTTTCTTTCTGACAAAGCAATTGGTCTCCCCTGTTGCAGCAGGTGCAACTGTATGTTTAGCCTTTTTCTGCATTGATAGAGCTGTAAATATTCCTTTCTACGTAAATGTGTTTTTTGTTGTTTCTGAAAGTTGATAAGTGTTTTCCATAAAAGATAAAACCAGAGCAGATGTCCACTCTGGCTTCTATACATCTTGGACGGTACTAAATTGGACGTGAGCAAGTCTTGATTAAAACATTTTGTTCAAAGCCCCTTTTTAGATTGGATGCAACCTTGTCCTTCAAGACTTTTAGTATGTTGAGTCGTAGATTTGTGTAGATTAGATATATAGAAATCAAACAAATTATACATCGTGTACACAAAGTCATAACCCGATTAGTGTTCATTAAAGTTCGTTTAAGAACTTGGAACTAGACAACTCAATGGAGAAACAAAGTTGAGCATAATGGCCAACATGATCCATAACCAATGGTTTCTTTCAATCATATAGTTTCTACCATCATTTTACTGGATGGATTTTTATATATTGCTGCGGAAACATTACAATGTGGAGAATGCCATTGCATTGATTGAGTAAAAAGCAAATTTAGAGTTCCAAACTTATTTTTCCTCAGATCGTAAAATGTTCTTCCTTTTTTGGTTTCTATTATTAGGTGGATGAAGAAGGTGCAAACTCCGAAACTCGAGCAGCAGCATCTATTTCAGCAGATAAGCCTGCAAATTGGAGAAAGATGACATTTCTTTCAGTAGTGTTTTTGGTCCCTCTGGTTTCTGTGTTAGCATTCTGGTTGTTTGACAAAGGAAACATTTTCCTTTCCAAGAGCTTATGATTGCCAAGTTATGACCTAGCATATAGAAAATTTGTGTTTGTGTAGTTGTGCTTCCATCAATTCCTAGAGCTTCTGTATATGTGATCTTAGTTTTGATAAAGGTTGAAATGATGAAGATAAGTGCTTGAGAGGGGCAATAATGACGAAAACATACATTGTTGAGAGGTGCCACAATCATGTAAAGAGTGAAAAAGACCAAGGGAGGTAGATAGGGTGTTTGGATTTTAACAGTACAAAACCAAGTTATTTGACAAGATTTTGACAATGTTCTGCATGTCCAACCCGGATTTGAATTTGGCCATTGCATCAATGTCTGGACAACTCCCACAAAATATGTCTATATATGCACGAAAATTTTCATTGGGTTATAGAATATAATTAAAGTTGCTTTTTTATTTGTCTCTAGTGCAATCACCATTGCTTCCTGTATCCTTTCTCTGGCTTAAACTCTTGTGTCTGCCACTTTTTGACAGAGTTTCGTCTCCCTCCTTTGTCTTGGGCACCTGTGCACATTTTCCAAATTATAAAATGTCTAGACTACTGAATGCTGCAATGTTAAAAATATATGAAAAAAATTTCAGATTAAAAATATTTTCATAGACAGTTAATTCATAAGATTCTATGTTAGATAAGTGTATAAAAAAAAGGTATTTAGGTTGTATAAAAAATAATCATGCTCTTCAGTAATTAAAAAAAATTCTTAAAATATGAAAAGGAAATAATCCACTTTTTTTTAGTTGAATTATGTACTTTTTATGCAAATTAAGTCATTTAAAATTTGTTATACCTTAATCAACTCTGAGATTAAATATTCCGAGGAGAGTTTTTCCATCTAGATTATTTTTTCTTGTTCTAGCACAATTGTCTTTTGATAGAAGATATGTTTCTAAAATAAAAATCTAGTTAAAAAAATAATATTTTTTAATTTTCCAATTGGTTTTTCATAAAACTTTTATTATTTTTTGTCAAAAAAATGTTTTTTTTGATATTTTATCATTATTATTACAATAACTCTATGAACTTTATTTAAATGTTACCACACAATGAAAAATATGTGATAATTTTTTTAATGAATACTAATAAAATTTAAAATATTTTGAGAAGATTTTAATAGAGTCAAATTTTCCCAGAGACAAAATAGATATTGTGAGAATCCAAAATTTAAGAAAATATATTTGAAATAGAAGAAAATAAAACATATTTAGAAAGTAAAAACTAATTTAAGTAAAATAAAGTTTGTTTTGTTTAGCCCAAAAAGAAAAAAAAAAACCCTAGATGGTTGTCCATGTACTCTCGTACTATATAAAGACGAAGATACTAGCTTAGAAAATGTGACCTTTCGGTGCCGCCTCACTACCTCTTCTCTGTAGTTTCATATCATTTGATTGGGTTTTAGCAGTGATTGATAACCTGATGCACCGCGTAGCCCTTTGCATCTCCAAGTTTAGTTGCAAGGAAATTACGAGATAAGGTTTTTCGGGTGCAAAATTTATGCACGGCAGTTGAAATTCATGTTTTCGGGGGTGTTTTTTTTTTCGCCCAATTTGCAATTTCTCTGCCAAATAATTTGTAGTGATCTGTACCATGCAATGAGCAAAGCAAAATGATGAATTCAAAACTTGTCTGAAACTGATGAGGAATCAAGTTTAGGTCTTCAAAGTTCTCTGATTGCTCTGCTCTGTGTTGTGGTAATTAGATTGGTTGGTTATGGGTCAATTAATTTTCCTATTTTCGGTGGTATTTGGTGGCATTTGATTGAGAGCATTTTATTTCTTAAAGTTTTCTTTTTTAGGTTTTTAGTTGTATATCATTCACAGTTTTATTTATTTGTTGACAATGCATTTGATGCTGCATATTCTGGTTTGGTTACAGTTATTATTTCTATTAGAAATAGACGAGGGGAAAGATAATTTGTAAAGGGCAAGCAAAGTGATGAGGTTTTAATGTCTGAATACGATGTTGAATCATAATTTCAAATGGTCTTCAAAGTTCTCTGATTGCGTTGCTGGTGTTGACATTGACAATTATGTCTTCTCATTTTAGTTGATGTTTTATTTTATTTTATTTTCAATACGATGATATGAAGAGATGAGGAATTAAATGTAACTATTTAGACATTGCATTTTATCTGCAGTTTTGTTATTTAATGGTTGCGTAATTCATCTGCTTAGGTGTAGGTATAACTGCTGAGGGAATAAAGGAAGTTATCTGAACAGAAGCACCAAAATTCTTAATCTGATGTGCATCAATCTGTCAGATTATACGAGCATGGTGCAACAAAATTTTCATTCCCTGGGTTTTGTTATGCATTATTTGTCTCTATATAGTGACTGATGAAGTATAACTCGGGAAGGACATGTGGAATTGCAGTTCAGTCTGCTAATTGGCATTGGACATTTGAAATAGCTGCATATCAAAACTAAATTTTTGTTTTAATATTCTGAAATTCAGAATCTTTTATTTTTATCAAGAATTCATTAATTCTTGTGATTATTTTTAGGTTTATCAAATGATAGGTTCTTTTTGAGATCTAGGTTCAAATTCAAACTCTAATTAAAATACTAATTATGTTATTTTAATTCTCTAAACTTTTATAAATCTCTTTAATTCTATTTAGTCTTGCCCTTTTTAAGCCTTTTTCTAGTTATGGTCTAAGGTCTTCAACTGGGCTTTTCTTTTTATTGTATTTCTATACTTTTTTCTTATACTCTATATTTGTCTACAAGGATAATAATATTAAGCAAAATTTTGGTTTTTGAAAGGTTTCTAGAAAAGAAACATTTAATTGATCTTTTTAGAAGTTTTCTGATAATGGAATTAACTTTTTGAAAATATTCTAAAAATTGATTTAGGAATATTTTTGTAAAACTTTTGGAAAGACCAATTCAAAATTTGAAAGACCTTGTTTCGAAGAGCTTTTGAAAGAGTTAATTTGAAACTAAAAATTAAATATGTGAAACATTATTTTTAAGTATATTGTAGATTTCATAATTTGGAATTTAAAATATTTATATATTTTCTTATTTATTCATCTGAATTTTTTTATATTTTTCAATACAAAATATTTTATATCATGCTTTGGATATTTTTTTTATAAAATTAAGAGTATTATATTATCTTTTTAAATAAATATGGGATGTAGAAGAAAAGTATGGATGAATAAGAATGTGTCCTACAATTAATTCTTGATATCAAATATAAAGTTTTGATGATATGAAATTAAAGGAATTCAAAAACATTAAAAGTGTTATTGATCTTTTCTAACATTTGAAAAAGAAAACCCGATTTAACTAGAAATTTGGATTTCTTTGTTTGGCTGTATTTTCATGCATCTCATATTTTCTTCTTGTATTTAAATTGATAATATTACATTAAAGAAAATAAATGAGAAAAAGAGAAAAATAATTATCCATCATTAGATTGTCTATAAACAGAAAATAAATCTAGATAAATAAACTTAAAAAAATTATTTAAATAAAAAATTGTATTCTTCTACACATAATAATTTTTAAGGATTTTATATTATGAAAACAAATAAATTATTGTTTGTGCATTTGAACGTAATAAATGAAGGTTTATTTTAATTTAATTAGTAGCGGATTATTATAGTATCGTCTTTATGTAGAAATATTTGTATAGTCGCTAATTGGGAGAAATATTGTGAAATTTTAAAGTTATAAAATTTTCATAATTTCTGGCATTCTATTTACATAAAGTACAAACTTGATACAAGGTTACTGTTACTTTTTCCCCCAGAAAACTCTAGGTCTTAGGTCTTAAAGGATGTTTATTAATTTAGATAAATTTGTCACGAATTTGAATTAAACTAAATTGTTTAAAATTTTTAACTGAATCAATCAAACAACAAATATGATGGAAATTAACTTTTACATCGGATTTATAATTTTATGAATTCAGTGGAGAGATTATAATACCCTTAGTTTTGTGTAACGAGCCCAACTATGGATCCAGCCCACCACAATGAAATAAAATCCATACGTATAAAATTATCTCAACATTTTAAAATTAAGAAATGTCGCTTGGTCAAATTCAAAATCTCAATCGAATACATAAAGATTTAAAATTATCCGTCTAATTCTTAAAAGAAAATATTAAAATTTATCCTAACTGGTATACTTGGACTTGTCAAATTATTATCATCACCAAATTTTCAGTCCTCTAAATTTTATGCTCTTAAAATAATATACGAAAAAGTTTATTTTGAATTTATTAAAATAGTTATCACCAAATTATCTATATATAAATTCAATAGTTTAGGGGAGAAACTATATTAAATAAAACTCAAATCTCAGTTTTTATATACTTAAATCCAATCATACATTTAAGAAAACATTATAGTTTTAACACATTAAATACGTTTTCACAATTTATTCAAAAACATTATTAAAAGAAAACTCCTCCATAGTTAAAATTAATTTGTATGTAGATTAAAATGTAAAATTTTTAAAATAGAACTTTTACAAATCAAATTATACATATGAAAAAATAAATTCATTTTATTTCTCATATAAGTATTTACGTAGAAGTTATTTCAACATATCTGATTCTTACTACGTATTAAAAAAATTTAAATAACAAAATTAATAATCCTTTAATATTTTCCTAAAACATTTTTCTTGTAAATAAAAAGTAGTACAATCAGAAATCAGACATTATTCAAAGTTAAAATAGTTAAAAAAAATATTAGGTTCGTTTGTTTATATTTAAAAAATTTGTTTAAAATTTATTTACTTTAAAGTACTTAGTTGTTTCTCAAAAAAAAATATTTTTTACATTCTCCAGATAAATTTATTTAAACATATTACTACTTATTACAAGACCCTACTCCTATTATGAGATTTTTTTTCACATTACAGTTCCATATTTGTTTCATTATTATAATTATTCTTTTTACAAGAAATTGCATGCATACATAATATAATGGTACATATTGTTAATCTAATTTACTCTTTAATTAATAGTATTATTGGACATTGCGT